CCTCCAGTGCCTGGCATGTAGCAGACATGTTTAAATATTTCTCAAATTAATAAAGGTAGTACAAGAAGATTCACAATAACTATATAATGATATTTTGGATAGAGGATAAGATTATTTCCTACTATTGATCTGTGGGCCTTTTTAACAGTAGGTATGTTTTTGACAGAGTCATATTTATTAACAATAATCTCAGGTATTTGTTCTTTATTGTTGCCTGGGTTCTCGGCCTAATTTTATAGTTTATTTTGCCATGAAATGCCCCTTCCTTGTTTCTTCTTTATGAAGATACATATGGTGCATGTAAATAATATTTGGATTTGAGGTTAAAAGGTAACTACCATGCCAGATTTTTGATAACGAAGTCTTGATATGGTTCAGTAGTTTAATTTATTTTTCCAGCCACCTCTAACAGAGAGAGTGCTAAGATTAGATCAACAGGTGTTTTTCTACAAGTGTGAAGATACAGTGGCAAAGTTATGGAAGGAAAATAGAGTCCTAAGGGACAGGAAAACTCAGAAGCTTCTGGAAAATGTGAATTAGCTTTAAAAACTGGCTTCAGAGGAAAAGAGTCCCACACTGAGAAGCTGCAGACCCAGTCTATCTCTGGGACTGCAAAGACCTACTTTTCACTGGTGCTGTGGGATAGTAATAGCTACTTTCCAGAATCATTAAGAAGGTTAAACCAATGACTGTATGGAAAACACCCGATACAATGCTCAGAATTACTAGTTCCTTTCTCCCACCTCTTTTTCATTTAATTAAACCAAGGTCTCTTTTGTGTCATCATTATCCATGACACTGTGAGTAGACTATCATTTTAAACATTATACAATATTATAGATTTTTCAAAATAATCTGGTCATCCTGCCAAAACTTCTAAGCCTAAAGAAAAACGATTCAAAACCTTAGACTTTCTACAGTATTCTTTTTGGTAATGTTAGACTCAATCAAATGTGGGGCAAGATCAGGGCAAAATTCTACTTTTGGTTGAAGCACATAGCTCCTTTTTTGGCTGTGGACATCTGGGTCCCTGGGATTTTTAATCCAGTGAGAAGACTTAATTTGCTTCTTATTAGTGAGAATCCATAAACAACAAAATCCATAATCTTCCATCACAAAGTTACAGCAATCATTATCATTTTCAATTTATGCTTTTGAAGAGCTCTATTTACTTTGTCCACATTTCATCTTAATGTGACTCTAAAACGCTTGAGGACCTTCCCATCCAAGGTGATTGGAGACATGCCTGGTTGTTTAGTGTCATGCAGCAGTTACTTGATGGGCCCTATTTTCATGGGGATGTCAGTCTTTCAACCATTTTGAGGTCAGTAGAGAAAGTGGTGTATAGTGTACAAATGTCAACAGCAGAAATCCCACATTAACCCGAAGAGTCTGGCATGGTTGGCAGGAGTTTCTCACAAAGGATAGAGTAATGAAGCAGCAGGTTTATGGGGTGGGGGAGGTGGGAACCTAATTAGTCTAGCTTCAGGAATGCCAAAAAACCTATTTAATATCTTTTGCTTTTACTCTTCTAAGCCACCAAGAGGGAAAATTGCTCACAAACACCTAAATTCATTATATTAAAAAAAAAAAAAAAAGATTAGTGCATGGGGTAATCTGATGGATGAATCTGCGGTTTTTCTTTTGACCTCTGTTAAGATGAAAGCCATGGAAAGGACTTCACACATTTAGACCCTTATTACTTGCTATGAATTCCTAAAATACTTTCTGGTGGAAAGAGAATAAACTCAAAGGCAATGCCATATTTTAAATTTAAAAAATTACTAGCTGCTGCTCAAAAGAGATGGCTAAAAAGCTAGCACTTGTGTATCTGTGAATCATTTATTTGTCGGTGCTGACATTCAGTTTCAGAGAGACCACCATGCTCCTCAGATGCTTCCACTTTCTCTTTATCCCCAAACTTATCCTTGTCTTCAGGGCTTTTATTCATGGTAATGAAGAGTGCCTTAGGAAAAGCATCATTCAACATTTGGAAAGCTACATTTCAAAGAAGGGCCTTGTAAAAAATGTTGGGACTGGGCTAAGGACTGCAAGAGAACTTTTAATCTAATAAATAAGACTTATTAGTCATTGAATAGATATGCTAATATCTGGAGACATAAGTCACTCAAGAGCCAGGAGAAGGCTCCGAGCACCATGTTCATCCCATAGTAGGGATGGGGTCAAGAGTCAATCCATGAAGCTCCTTCTCTATCACCATCATCATGAAAAGTGTTTTTGAACTGCTTTCTGTGTGTAGGGCACTGGGATAAGCACAGGCACATATGTGGACTTCTTGCAAAGATATGAGATAAACCAAACTCCAGAAATGAGGTAACCAATGTCAAAATTTCCTTTCCAAGAGCCAATATGGTTCTCGAATGATCACTGGAATGCATTTCTTCTCAAGTAGTGGATGGTACTATGTTAAGTTTTAATTGGCTGTATACATACCAAGTATCCTGATGAAGAGTAAAAAAATAAGTTGTTTAATTTGTACATTGGTGTCAGTATTTGCCTTAATCAGGGAAAACTGAGACGTGAACATGAGAAAATTTCTCTCTACAAACACTGCCTGTTTTTTTTTTTAATTTATTTTTTGTTTGTTTGGTTGCAGTGAAGTCAGGAGGTTTTTTTTTATTATTATTATTATTATTTCCCAACATCTTACTATAAAAATTTCAAACATGCAGCAAAGTGGAAAGAATTTTAATGACAGTATTCCCATCACCTAGATTCTACCATTAACATTACTTTACTTGCTTTATAATATATCTGTCCATCCACCCCATCCTACTATCCATACATCAATACGATGTTTTTGATGCATTTCAAAGTAGACTGCAGACAGCAGATAATATTGTATTTTGAAGTAGACTCAAAGAGTATTCTTAATCCTAGAAAAATACCTAGAAAACATTTATTAGTTTTTTTTAAAAACAAAGAACAAGCTCATTCTGATCTATGCACACACATATTCAACCTAGTTCAATCTACAGGCTCTGAAAAAGTATGGTAAGTTAACTCAAGGTTTTGTCTACCTTTATCAAGGAAGACATTTTCAGTACTCCCCCAAATGTTGGGCTTTGTGAAGACATGGGCTATGGATTATAGACAAATAAGCTCTCTGCTACAGATCATCAGGGAGAATTACCTGGCATGTTAGCTATCAGTATTTTTTTTTTCCTCTATACTCTAGCAGTTTCCTAATTATTCCTTGAGTGTAGAAATAGAGATTTCTATGCCTCAATTCCCTCATTTACAAAGTGAGTCTTATAATACTGATTGCACAGGCTTGTCATGAGAATCAAATGTGAAAAATAAGAAAACACTTTGTAAAGAGTAAAGCACTATGCACATCTAAGATAGCATTATCGTTAGTAATCATAATGCATCTGCAATCGAACACAGCGGAGGTAATTGTTCACACTGCTACTTGGTTCTTTCAAATCAGTCAAAAAGATTTCAGAGGTTAAAGGGACAGAGTATTGGCAGTTGTCTTCACTTTGCCCATCTGTACGTCATCTTGTCAAGGATCTAGAAGAACCTTGGTGTATATCATACAGACTTGTTTTCATTAGTGAAGTGTCTGTTTTGGAAATCATCCCAGCCCTAAAACAGTACTTCCATTAGCTGGGCACAGTACCTATAATTATCCATCTCATCTGACCTGTGCCAAACTATTCTACTTGCTGCATCCCATTTATATTTACCTTGGTGGTTCCAAAAGAAGAGCAGGGCATTCACTCAACATATGAGAAAGTACAGAGAATGTTTATTTCTTTGAATAAACATCTACAAATAAACTTTGTGTAGAAATTCCTGCAACAAGATATCATCAGGTACCATAAATGACAAATCATTTTTAAGTGATGGAAACCCTCTGTCTCCATATGGGAAAAACTCTGTTACATGAATATCTTAAATTTATAGGGTATAAAGTAATGTAGCTTCCATTTTTGTGTCAGGATGGATACAAATCAAGAAAGTGAAGAGCAAGGTCAAAGCTAGCTAGGGAACCAAGAAAAGATAAAATAATCAGGGAGGTGAGTTCAGTATCAATTACTGTTATTGAGAACTTGCCAGATCTCTGGCACATTTTGCTTAAGGGGAATTAAAAAGAAAGACAGATTTGGAATTACCCTTACCCTCAAAAAGCATCCACTTTATAAGAGTTGGATAGAGCAAATAATCGGAGATGGAAAAATTACACCTTGTAAGTAAATGGAATGGAATATGTAAAAAGGGAGAAATAAGCATGGTTTGTGATTTAATTACAAGTTATACTCAACATTGTGTGTGTGTACAATGTGGACAACATCACAGCAATGAGAAAACCTCTAAGAGGACACATACAGTTACCCCCAAATTCAAAATATGATTTTCACGTAGGAAAAGGAGAATCAGAGGCAAAGATTGGTTGTGCCATCTGAGGGGGAGGATTCCCTGGCCCATGAGCTCCAGCTGTCTGGTGCTGGTAACAAGAGCATATATTAAATATACTGAGATGGCGGCATCAAGCTATCATCCTCTGACCCACTACACATTCCAAACATGCAAGTAAACTCCTTAATTTGGTTCCATAATTATGAAGCAAACTTCTAATCACATTTATAATTTTGGCATCCTATACAACACACATACTGGGAAAAAATAAGCAGCCCGAAAGGGTCAAAAACTTGTTTGCCATGCTAGTGAGATTTCTCACTGTAGTTACAACAAATTGGGGTGTGTGTTTGAATATACATACGCACGTGTATTACACACAAACATACATACATATTTAACATGTAGTTTTAAGAGAAACACTGGCAAATCAGAATTTATAGCAATGCAGACTTCTAGATATTTTGGTAAAAGTTTGCATTCTAATAAATTCTACCATGCTTTACATTAGAACCATGTAAATATCCTCACTGTGCTGCTTGGTAGTATTGTTTATTTCTTCTGTTTAGTCTACATGTTTTGCTTAACTGCTGATGGCTCCACATTCATCTTACCTGACTGTCCAGGAGGAGGGGCACCTGATGATCCTCGTGGTAGACAAAGGAAAACAGTCAGAACAGCAGCTCTGTTCCCGGCACATGGTTCAATGGCTATGGGTTTGGGTGCTCCCTGAAAAAGAAAACCCAATTTTAAATTTGCATTAATTGACAGGACATTGCTATTTTACTTTTCTCCTACCCATGCTTCAGTCAGCTAAACTGTATACTCCTAGGTGTATGGGGACACACAATGTCTCATTTTTTAATAGTTCAATTGAATATTTTCTCATAGTAATACGGTGTTTTTGTAGTGGTGGTCATTAACATTTAGAAGACATTTTTTTTCTTGGGGAGTTAAAAATTGGTACATATTTTTGAAAAGTACTCTGTTCTATTTTTAGCTTGCTTTATTTCTTTAATAGACTTTATTTTAAACAATTTTTAAACTTTATTTTTTAATAATTGTTATAGGATTATTTTTTAAATTCACATATAATGTATTATTGGTTTCAGAGGTACAGGTCTGTGATTCAATCATCTTATATAAAACCCAGGGCTCATTACATCACATGCATGTGATGTAGACTTTATTTTTTAGAGCAGTTCTAGGTTCACAGTAAAAGTGAGAGGGAGGTACAAGATTTCCCCCACACATTTTGCCCTAACATATGCATAGCCTCCCACATCATCAATTGCCCCCACCTGAGAGGTATATTTGTTACAACTGATGAACCTTCAGTGACACATCATACTCATCAGAGGTCCATAGTTTGCATTAGGGTTCACTCCTTTGTTATAGTCTATGGGTTTGGACAAATGCAAATGACATGTATCCACCATCATAGTATCATACAAAGTATATTCACTGCCTAAAAATCCTCTGTGTTCCACCTATTCATCCCTTCCTCATTACCCCAAACCCTGGCAACCACTGATCTTCTTACTGGCTCTATAGTTTTGCCTTTCCCAGAATGTCATATAGTTGGAATCATAGAGTTTAACCTTTTCATGTTGACTTCTTTCACTTGGTAATAAATATGCACTTAAGGGTTAGGATTAGGGTTAGGTTTAGGCCATGTCTTTTCATTCCTTTTTAGTGCTGAGTAACACTGCATTGTCTGGATGTACCACAGTTTATTTATCCAATCACCTTCTGAAGGACATCCTGGATGCTTCCAAATTTCCACAATTAAAAATAAAGCTACTATACGGAATACCTCAGTGGCTCAGTCAGTGAAGTGTCCAACTCTTGACTTTGGCTCAGGTCATGATCTCCGGGTCATAAGATTGAGCCCCACATCGGGTCTCACGCTGGGCATGGAGCCTGCTTAAGATTCTCTCTCTCCCTCTGCCCCTCCCCACCACTTGCATGTATTTTCTTTAAAAATATAAATAAACAAAATAAACAAAGCTACTATAAACATACTTGTGGAGGCTTTTGTGTGAATACAAGTTTTCAACTCCACTGGGTAAATATCAAGGAGTGTGACTGCTGGATCATATAGTAGAAGCACATTTAGTTCTTTAAGAAACCATCAACTGTCTTCCAAAGTGGCTGTACCATTTTGCATTACCACCAGCAATGAATAAGAGCTCCTCTTGCTCTGCCTCTTCACCAGCATTTGGTGGTGTCAGTGTTCCAGATTTGGGCCATTCTAGTAGGTATGCAGTGGCATCTTGTTGCTGTTTTAATTTGAACTTCCTCTGATGATATGTGATATGAAGCATCTTTTCATATGCTTATTTGCTATTCTGTATGTCTCCTTTGGTGAGGTATCTGTTAAGGTCTTTGGCCCACTTTTAATTTTCTTGTTTCTTATTGTTGAGATTTAAGAGTTCTTTGTGTATTTTGGAAAGCAGTTTTTTTTATCAGATGTCTCTCTTGCAAATATTTTCTCCCACTTTGAGGTTTGTCTTTCCATTCTCTTGATATTGTCTTCTGAAGAGCAGAAATTTTTGATTTTGATGAATTCCAGCTTAGTAATTATTTCTTTCACAGATTGTGCTCTTGGTGTTGCATCCAAAAAGTCATTGCCATATGCCAGGTCATCCAGGTTTTCTTCCAGGTTATCGTCTAGGACTTTTATAGTTTTGCAGTTTACATTTAGGTCTATGATCCATTTTGAGTTAATTTTTGTGAAGGGTATAAGGTATCTATCTAGATTCATTTTTTTTGCATTGGATGTCCTGTTGTTCCAGAACCGTTTCTTAAAAAGTCTATCTTCACTTCATTGCATTGCATTTGATCCTTTGACAAGGATCAATTGACTGTATTTCTGTGGATCTATTTCTGCACTCTATTCTGTTCCATTGATCTAATTGTCTATTCTTTCACCAATACTACACTGTCATGATTACTATAGGTTTATAGTAAGTCTTGAAGTTGGGTAGGGTCAGGCCTCCTGACTTCAATACTCTGTTGGCTATTCTGGGTCTTTTGCCTCTCCATATAAAATTTAGAGTCAGTTTGTAGATATTCACAAAATAACCTGCTGGCATTTTGATTGGGACTGCTTTGAATCTATAGATCAGGTTGGGAAGAACTGACATCTTGACAATATTGATTATTCATATTCATGAACACAGAATATCTTTATTTAGTTCTTTTTTATTTTATTCATCAGAGTTTTGTAGTTTTCCTCATGCGATTGGGACTGCTTTGAATCTATAGATCAGGTTGGGAAGAACTGACATCTTGACAATATTGATTATTCATATTCATGAACACAGAATATCTTTATTTAGTTCTTTTTTATTTTATTCATCAGAGTTTTGTAGTTTTCCTCATGCAGATCTTGTACATATTTTGTTAGATTTATACCTAAGTATTTCATTTTGAGGAGTAGTAGTATAAATACTATTGTATCTTTAATTTTGAATTCTACTTGTTCATTGCTGGTATGTAGGAAAGAAACTGACTTGTATTTTAACCTTGTATCTTGCAACCTTGCTATAACTGCTTATCTCTCCAGGAGTATTTTTGTTGATTCTTTTGGATTTTTCTACATAGAAAATCATGTCATGTGTGAATAAAGATAGTTTCATGTCTTGCATCCCAATCTGTATACCTTTTATTTCTTTTTCTTGTCGTAATGCATTAGCTACAACTTCCAGTACGGTGTTGAGAAGGAGTGGTGAAAAGGGGACATCCTTACCTTGTACTTGATCTTAGTGGGAGTGCTTCAAGTTTCTCACCACTAAGCATGATGTTAGCTGTAAGATTTTTGCAGATATTCTTCATCAGGTTAAGGAGGTTCCCCTGTATTCTTAGTTTACTGAGAGTTTTTATACAGCTTTTATAGGAAAAGTAGGCTAAATACTTGATTATTTCCTTTTATTTATCAATTTTCAAAATAATTATTTGCTAGCATTCTCCAAACATGACAATTTATATTATTATAAATTTATAACTTTTAATATTTCTGATGTGTTTCAATTGATAGCTGTTATAATTTTGTTATTAGTTTTATTAATTGTTCAAATTGTACTATCTTTGAACAATGAGAATATCTTCAAATTGGCTCCTGAGTGCTGACATGACCACAAAAGCCTTTGATAGCTTCCTTGTCTTTTGCCTGTCCCAGACCTATAATCAGACATTTCTCTAAGGAAGCTTGCTGGGAAGTGGTATTAATTCCAGACATAAGAGGTATTTATTCCTACTGGGCTGGCCATTTTTCTAGGAAGTTTTAGGCAACAAAGCTCAGTGTCATAAATTGGATTTCCAAAGAAGCAGACTCCATGGGAGATAGAGTTAGCAAGCAGAGGTTCTTATTGTCAAAAGAAAATGTAGAAGGAAAAAGAAGGAAGCCTCATTAGACAGAGGGAAAGGGCTGAACTGAGATGCAGGGCCAAGAGGAGACCTAGAGTCAGAATAATCCTTCAACAATCAAGTTGGGCCAAGAGGGCCTGGCCTTTATACTCCCTCAAAGATCAGTTCTTACATATCATTGCCCTTGGGAAGGGTCATGACCTTGGAAAATGTGGCTGTCTGCTGTTATGGTAATACCTGAAGTGGCTGACAGCTGAAGATAGTGAACAGCATTCCCAGAAGCTGAACATCATGTCTTCAATAAAGGTGGATTTGTGTAAAATATCAATGTGCCCTCCATATTCAGAATTTTTTTAAGAGGAAAAATATGCCATGAATTCATAACAATATTGCCAATTCAAATTTAATGTGTTTTATTTAACTTCTTTGAGTTTTTGTATCTCTTTTCTCTTAGACTGAAAATCTTGATACCTAGTAATACTGATAATTACTTTTATTATAGCATAAAATACAATTTAAATATAGTTTTTTATATTATATGACAGTGGAATTAATTAAAATTGACTTCTTTGTAGTTTTGGGGATTTTTTGTCTTAAGGATCCTACTAAGAATATACTGCATGTTTAAATACTTCCTGTTTAAAATCACTTGGAAAAAAAATAAAATAAAATCACTTGAAATAGGTCCTCTCTGTGTGGTTTTGCCACTGATTCCATCCCAATTTAGGTAAGTTTGTGAATTCAGAGGTTTATTGTTTTGAGGGATTGTTCCCCTTTCCACTTTTATTTAATATTGCTTTATAATTTTAAGACCTTGATATGGCTCCAGGGTCAGATCTAAAAAATAAAGTACACTTAGAGAGGTTTACCATCCACCCTTGTTCCCTTCATGCTGTTCCCTTTTTAGCAAGGAAGTTTTTGTGTGGATAGAAGTTCTCAGATCCTTGGAGTAAATATCAAGGAGTATGACTGCTGGATTGTATGGTGCCATGTTTCATTTTAACACCAAATCCTGGCACAAAAGAGATGTGCAGTAGGCCTACATTTGAATAAATGAATACATGTCACTATATTTGATGGGTAGTCTGTGAGCCACAAAGTTATGCAACTTTTGTTGCTTTCTCATAATTGTTTCCTGCCAGCAATGATGTACTGCCCAATAGTTTATCTAATTAAGTGATCACAACCCAAACTATTTTGTTAGCATATCTTTAATATCACTTCAGTGAAATATGTATGTCATAATCACCAACTAAGGCACTTGTATAAACAATATGACCTTAGGAATACAGTAAATGAAAATATGATAATAATTACAGTAGTAATAGCTAGTATTGTATTAAGTACTATACTATGAA